TTTGATTTATTGTAGAGATGAGGTCTCACCAAGTTGCCCAGGCAGGTCTTGAACCCATGGACTCAGGCAACTCACTCACCTCAGCCTCCCAAGGCAGGATTACAGGCTGAGCTACTGAGCCTGGCTGAGATTTTTTTTTTAAATTAAAGAATATTTGCCGTCTGGCTCTGTGGCTCAGCCTGTAATCCCAACACTTTGGAAGGCTGAGGCGAGAGGATTGCCTGAGCCCAGGTGGTCAAGATCAGCCTGGGCAACTTGGTGAGACCTCATCTCCACAATAAATCACAAAAACTAGCCAGACGTGATGGCGTACATCTGTAGTTCCAGCTACTTGGAAAGCTGAAGCGGAAGGATCGCCTAAACCCAGCAGGTCGAGGCTGCGTTGGCCATGAGCGTGCCACTGCACTCCAGCCTGGGCGAAGAGAGTGAGACCCCAATTCAAACAAACTGAAAAAGAATTATTTGCACATTAATACCCAACACAAAGTAATATGATGATATTTGTATTCAAGCTGGTACCTTCAAAGGTTTGTCAAGGATCATCATCCACAGTGTTTTTCTAGACAAGACTGGGAGGCTGGAAGCCCAGGCATGGTGGCTCACACCTCTAATCCTAGCACTTTGGGAGGCTGAAGCGGGAGGATTGCTTGAGCCCAGGAGTTCAAGATCAAACTGGTCACATGGCGAGACTTTGTCTCTACAATAACTAAAATAATTATCCAGGTGTTGTGGCACACCCCTGTAGTCCCAGCTACTCAGGAGGCTGAGGTAGGAGGATCGCTTGAGCCTGGGAGTTTGAGTCCAGCCTGGGTAACATAGTGAGACTCCATCTCTATTTTTAAAAAGACGGGGAGGTCTTGAGGAAAAAGAAGGAAACCAAAAGGCAATGACTAAAAATGTAAAATAGCCAGATGACCTATGATGAGTGTCAGTAGGTATTCTATAAGTGTCGCAGGCGTGGACACTCAAACATTATTGAATGAATATGGACATAAGTCTTAAAATCAGTTTACTCAGCATATATAACTTGCAACACTTGACATTTTAGTTTTTGTCCTAGAACTCTTTTTGTTCATTTCTGAATTACTTTTTCTTTTAAAGCTATTTCCAAAGAAAATTCCAGCAGGCCTGCACAGAGCTGCTGGGTAGTCCCTATGCCATGGATTATGGAAGGAGATTTCCACGTGACATCTGTACACCACCAGGCTCAAGCATGGCTGCCTTTGCACTTGCCACCCAGGCTGCCATCATGCAGGAGAAGGACTTACTGAACTTTCTCGAAGAACTCAAGCGTAAGAGCCGTTTATTCTCTCTCTGCTGTTTTAAAGGGTTCATTTGTGGCCGGGCACAGTGACTCACACCTGTCATCCCAGCACTTTGGGAGGCAGAGGTGAGAGGGTTGCCTGAGCCCAGGGGTTTGAGACCAGCCTGGGCCACTTGGTGAGACCTCATCTCTACGATAAATCAAAAAATTAGCCTGGCGTGATGGCACCCACCTGTAGTTCCAGCTACTTGGAAGGCTGAGGTGGAAAGATGGCCTGAACCCAGCAGGTCGAGACTGTGGTAGCCATGAGTATGCCCTTGCACTCCAGTCTGGGCGACAGAGGGAGACTCCAACTCAAAAAAACAGAAAACAGAAAACAAAAAAAGGGTTCATCTGTACAAGGGGGACCCCCCAAAAACCAGAACTACCTTTTGGAGGACAGGCCCCTTGTAGTACAGGCCTCCCACAAGAGAAGCATTCTGGGAGCTCATTGGCATCTGGGTACCAGTGGGCGTTGAGAGAGGCTGCGTTTGGCTTCAGGGATTGCTTTGGAGATTCTCTCAACACGTTCACCCGTTTCATGATGGGGAATTGACGAGCACACCCGCCCAAACCTTGACACCCAGCCACGGCATGACCCCATGCCCCACCCCACCCTCCCTGATCTCACCCCAGTCTGCTGATGTGGAAGAAGTGAAGCCAAAAACGCAAGAAGCACTAAAAGGAATCAAAACCGATGGGCTAAAAAAGTTTTGAGCAGCGGGAAAAACATCTCGATGGGTGTATTGCATCCAACAGAGAAGACTCTGAAGATGACTTAAGTTTAAACATGTAGGAATAAATACACGATTTTTTTTTTGAGTCGAACTCTCACTCAGGCTGGAATGCAGTGGCACCCTCATGGCCATTGCAGCCTTGACCTGTGGGCTCAGGTGATCTTCCCGCCTCAGCCTGCCAAGCTGGAACCACAGGTGTGTGCCAAATTATTATTACTATTTATTGTAGAGACAAGGTCTCGAACCCCAGGGCTCAGGCAGTCCTCTCACCTCTGCCTCCCGAAGTGCTAGGATTATAGGTGTGAGCCACCACACTCGTCTACATAATTTTTAATAAATAAATTCCAGTTTTTGGGGGTCCCTCTTCGCATACATCTGGTCAGAAATCAGTACCCTGGGCCCAATGTGCAGGGCAGGCCCATGCTTGTTCTGAGCAACTGGTCTCTGTGACACAGATGTCGTGTGAAAGGAGGTGTGATGCTGCGAGCCTGGTGGATGGGGCTGAGGCCGCTGAGAAGGAGACCGGAGCAGGCCAGGCTACGCGGTCTTCTCGCAGCATCTGTGAATCCGCGTTTGTTTCTGTCTTTTTAGGATGCGGTCCTGATGTAGGCAGCCCTTATTCCAAAATCCCCGTCTTCCCACTGTTCCCCAACATGGACGGCGTGGTCCTGGGGAAGCCTTCCAAGGACACACAGAGATGGGAAGCGCTCTGGAGAAGGGAGCCTGTGAACTTCTTCGAAGACTATTTTTTCCACAAAAGAGACTGGAAAACACAGGTGAGACTTAGATTATGTCACATCAGTTCATTTAAATACTTAGATTGTTTAGCACTAACTTAATGGAATGAATTACATGCTTTTTACAGCAAATAATTTTTATTCATTATGCTTCAAACCAGATGCCATAGCCAAGGTCCTAAATTTAAATTCAGGTGGAAACATTTCATCTAATTTCAACAAATAGTTAAACTTACTGAACAATACAAGTTTGGGCTGGGTGTGAGATTACAGCTCACACCTGTAATCTCAGCACTTTGGGAGGCTGAGGCAGGAGGACTGCTTGAGCCCAAAAGTTCAAGACCAACCTAGGCAACATAGGGAGACCTAGTCTCTACCAAAAGTTTTTAAAAATTAGCCAGGCGTGGTGGTGCATGCCTGTAGTTGTTATTCAGAAGGCTGAGACAGAAGGATCACTTGAATCCAAGAGTTGTTTTTTTTTTTTTTTTTGAGTCGGAGTCTCACTTCATCACCCAGGCTGAAGTGCACTGGCACACTCACAGCCACCCCAGTGTCGACCTGCTGGGTTCTGGCGATCCTTCTGCCTCAGCCTTCCAAGTAACCAGAACTACAGGCGCACGCTACCACGCCTGGCTAATCTTTTATCTATTGTAGAGACGAGGTCTCACCAAGTTGCCCAGGCTGGTCTCGAACCCATGGGCTCAAGCAATCCACTCGCCTCAGCTTCCCAAAGTGCTGAGGTTACAAGCTGAGCCACCAAGCCTGGCCGAGTCCAGGAGTTTGAGGCTTCGGTGAGCCACAATTGTGCCACTGCATTCCAGCATGGGTGACAGAGTGAGACCCCAACTCAAAAGAAGGGAGGGAGGGAGGGAAGGAGGAAAGAAAAGAAGGGAAAAAAAAAGAAAAATACAATTCGACCATTGTTTTGTTAAACTCAGGTGTGTCCACGTGGCTCTTTGAGCTATGGCTGCCATGTTTCCTAGCTTTGACCCCCTTCCTTCCATTGACTCTTGGTTGTGGTTAGCAGACACCATGGGACAAGGAGACCAGGTCCATGCCCACGGGAGCTGTGCTGTATGGCCAACCACCTGCTCAATCAGAACCTGTCTGCAGTCTCAGTTGCCCCTCTGGCCCTGCTCCGAGCTCTATGGCCTCTGTCTGCCCTTCCCAAGATCTACTTTGCCATCATGAGTTTTAAGGCAAGCAGTCCTGTTTCTAGGTATTCTCTAAGGAAGCTCCGACCTCACCCCACATTTGTCATGGGCCTCCCAACCTGAGAAACGTAGGGATTAACTGGAGTCTGGCCCACCTGAGGGCATCTCTGGGTTTCAGATGTTGTTCACACACTGTAAAATTCCCAGAAGGCCCCCCCAGACAGAGGTCTTAATAGTCCCCGAGGGGTGTTACTGTCTCAAATGATATCCAGTTCAAATGAAGAAACACCCATGGCAGATATCGCTGAGAAGACAGAAATAGGAGAACATTTACCCTCCCCCCCTTTATTTTTAAATTTTGGAGTTGGAGTATCATTCTGTCACTTAGGCTGGAGTGCAGTGGCATGCTCACGGCCACCGCAGCCTCCACCTGCTGGGCTCAAGCAATTCTCTCACCTCAGCCTTCCAAGTAACTGGAACCACAGGCGTGCACCACCACGCGTGGCTAATTTTTTTATTTATTGCAGAGATAAGGTCTTATCAAGTTGTCCAGGAGATCTTGAACCTGCGGGCTCAGGCAATCCTCTCATCTCAGGCTCCCAAAGTGCTGGGATTGTAGGTGTGAGGCACCACGCTGGACCCATTTACCCTCCTTTAAATGCATGGCCCATCATTGAACCCTCACCACGTCCTTTATTTAATCTTTTTGAATAAGCAAAACATACACATGGTTAAAAATTCAAAAAGTGTGGCGAGTATACACTGTTGTCTCTCAGCCGCTCAGGTTCCCAGCCCCCGGTTGCCTTTTGTAGACAACCAATGTTCCTGCTGTCATCATGTTATATTCCAAGAGGAGGCAGGCAGTAGGTACCAGATGACACTGACGAATGGCACTTGCAGTGTAGACGAGGAGCGAGCATAAGAGGAACAAGGGCACAGGACAGCATTGTTAGGTTGGTAGGAAGAAGGCCCTTCTGAGGGGATGTCACTTGAGCAGAGTCTGCAGGGATGGAGTGACCCCTGGAGACACCCGGGAACACAGTATAAGGGCACAGAGAGGGGAGGATTACACTTGTCTATTTGAGAGACAGCAAGAACAGTGCACCCCTTTTTTTTTTGAGTTGGAGTCTCACTCTGTCGCCCAGACTGGAGTGCAGTGGCATGCGTCCACTGCAGCCTCAACCTGCTGGGCTCCGGTAATCCTTCCGCCTCAGCCTTCTAAGTAGCCAGAATTACAAGCATGCACTACCACACCCAGCTAGTTTTTGATTTATTGTAGAGACAAGATCTTGCCAGGTTGCCCGGGTGGGTCTCGAACCCGTGGGCTCAGGCAATCCACTCGCCTCAGCCTCCCAAAGTGCTGGGATTACAGGCTGAGACACCGAGCCCAGCCCAGTGCACCCTTTACTGGTCACTTTTGCAATGGCCTGAGTGGTAAACTCTTTCAGTGTTGGGCCGTGCATTCTTTATTTGAAATTATCTCTATTTACCTTCACTGTCTTTGTTGTTTCTTAAGAAGTGGGTCAGCCAGGCACAGTGGCTCACGCTTGTCATCCCAGTACTTTGGGAGGCAGAGGCAAGAGGATTGCCTGAGTCCAGGGGTTTGAGACCAGCCTGGGCAACTTGGCAAGACCATGTTTCTACAATAAATCAAAAAAATTAGGCAGGCATGGTGGCACATGCCTGTGGTTCCAGCTACCTGGAAGGCTGAGGCGGAAGGATGGCCTGAGCCCAGCAGGTTGAGGCTGTGGTGGCCATGAGCATGCCACTGCACGCCAGCCTGGGTGACAGAGGGAGACTCTGACTCAAAACAACAATAATAATAATAGTAAAATAAAAAGAGAACTCCTAGTAAACAGCTTAAAAGGTACAAGATTATCAGCTGAGGGAGGCCGGAGGTCTGGTTTTCCAGCCAGTGCCATGAGGCCTGGAGTCAAGAGCAAATGGAGGAGAGGGAATTCACAGAGGACCGAGGCCCAGGCGAGATGAGGTAACGCACTTTTCCAAGAAAACAGTCAGCGTGTCAGCATGACGCCCACCAGCAGGGACAGGGACAAGAGGGCTGGCTCCTGAGAGCGACTTGCAAGCAGAGGGCAGGTGTGCCCAGGACAGCACAGTCAGGTCGGTGCTCTAGGGGCTGGGGAAGGCTGGGCTGGAGGACGTCGGCTCCTCACACCCTCCGTGGTGCCCCACACATGAGGCCCTGGTCTGTGCTTCTCCAGAGAGAAGCTTGCATCACTGTGGAAGAGTCTCCGAGCTGCCAGTCCACACCTGTGCTGCACTGGTGCCCAGAACACCTGACAGATGGCAGCGAGAGCCTTGTCCATCCTACATGGGGCCTTCTTATACACAGGCTTCTGCTGCTGTGTCGTGGGTGTCTAATTTAGACTAAAACATCGCTAACCTCTTTTCCATAAAGGCAGCACACGTGAAGGCTGTGAACCCGACCTTTGGCTACTCAAATGATATCTTCGCCATCGACCAGTTGCTCAAGAAGAGGACTTGCCCAGCGGCCGGCATGACAACCATCAAGCAGCACGTGAGTGCTCCCTACGGGCTGCCTTCCCAGGAGGCGCTGACAAAACAGTTTCCACTTCAGGGTGACACCACAGCGCCGGGAGAGGCTTCCTTGCACTCCGTGTTTAAGAGGAGGCAAGATCCTTTTTCATGGGTTCCCACTGTCAACAACAGCCCTTGCTCTGTCCAAGAATGGACACAAACGTCAAGTGTTAGAACCCGCGAGCTGGTCCCTGGTGCGCTTCACCCAGCATGATCTCTGGGACATTCATGTGTTTCGTGCTGGACACAGCCAAGTATCTGGGTATCTTATTAGGCAGAAGATACCCAGTCACCGCGAGCAGCAGGGACTCCCAGTGCTGAGGAGCCCTGCATCGGGGCCTCCCACCTCGGGGCCCGCTTCCTCCAGGGCTGAGGAGCCCGGGAGGTTTGGCCTTCTGGCATCTCAGGGACCCAGTTGCAGCGGGACATTGGGTCACTGCATGACGGGAGGGACAGCTAGGGCGGTGTCCTCTGGGCTGTCTAAGCCTGCCCTCAGTCTGCAGGCTGGTGACTCTCAAATTGGAACTAGCTATGAGCTACTCCTGCCCTCTGTCATAGCACGAGCCCGCTGACCCCCAGCCTCTTCCTGCACTCGGTCCACTTAGTCACTGAATTAGGAGAACCAGTGTGAACACGCATCTCTCTTCCATCACCACATCCTGACTTAGGAGCCCAGATGTGAGGGCCCCCCCTTCACTTCATTGATGACCTGGGATGTCAGGTGTGAGAGCCCCCCTTCCTTTATTACATCCTGACTTCGGAGGCCAGGCCTGAACCCCACCTTTCTCTCCTTCCGTCACCACGTCCTGACTTAGGAGACCAGGTGTGAGGACCCACCTCTTCTCCTTCACCACATCAGTGACCTGGGATGCCAGGTGTGAGAGGCCCCTCTCTTCCCTTATTACATCCTGACTTTGGAGAACAGGTGTGATGGAAGGCCCCTCCCTTCCTTCTCTGCTCCTCTCCTCTCACTTTGAACTTGACACCCCAGCAAAGTCACTTGCCAGTGCCCTGCTGCCAACTCCAGGGTGCCTGCTTCTTCAGGGTCTTGGTGCATGCTGGCCCCTCTCCTGGGTACACCTTCCCACCACTCTTCCTTCCCTCCACTTGGCCAGATCCTCAGGGACCCACTCAGCTCGCCTCTTCTCCTGGTTGGTCTCCCTGTTTGGTGCACTGGGGCATCCTTGACGTCCTTGTCATATCCAGATCCTACCTCCATTCCACACTTCTCCTGATTTTGGTCCGTTGCGTTTTTAATGTTGTTTTCCAGTTTTGACACAGGATCTCACTATGTCACCCAGGCTGGTCTCAAGTGATCCTCCTGCCTCAGCCCCCCAAGTAGCTGGGACTACAGGTACACACATACCTGGCTTTGTATTTTTAATATTATTATGAAAGTTCCTGTTTTCTCATTGTTCCCAAGTAAGACATTTTGGTTGTTCATCAGCTCATGGGTCACCACAATAGCTCACCACCTAGCTCAAGAGACAGTACCTGTCTAGACTCAGCAACTTCCAGGTTGCCTGGGAGCCAACTCTCAGGATATCCATAACTGTGGTTCACAAATCAAAGAAATTTCACAATAACCATGGGAAACTTCTGGTCACTCCCGCAGGTGAAAAGAGCTACAGATGCCTATAATTTAGGAATGGCCCTGGAGCACCGGAAGGAAATGCTGACACTCTGGCAGAAGATCCGAGGGGACCTCGTTGGGACAGACACGAACAACAAGTCCTTCTATGACACCTTCTCCACTTACACGTGGTCCTGGAATGTTTGCCAGGAGTTGCTTTCTGCTAAGGACTTGTGGTTACACGATGCCGGCGTGAACAGGAATTCCTCCCACCGCTCCCGGCTGTCTTCTTTCTCCTCATACGTCAGCAAATGTGACACAGATTCAGGACGGAAGGGAATACGGAAAGGTCCCAAGGGGTTTCCACAGTGAAAACTCTACACTTTCTAAGCAGCTCATCAAAAACTACTTTTTCATAGTTATCAAAATTATGCTTTCTTGCTTTTGTCCAGTACATTCTTAGCAGTTGGAAATTTTGACATCTTTTGGAGTCTGACCAGTAAAAAAGTTTAAGTCATACAGTAGCTTCTCTCTACTGAGTCTTCACCAATCAACATATGCTGTGCTGATCCCACAGCCCCGGCCAGCTCTGAGGCCCCTACCTGGTCAGAAACTACTGAACCTGAGTGCCTCCCAGCCAGGGGCTCCTGAAGTGTATGGTGACTGCCAACTGAACTGGTTTCCAATTGTTTGTCGTGAAAGAAGCCAGAGATGGTGGGTGTCAATGACATTTTAGTTTCAGGGAATACTAGCCAGCCCCCAAAGAGCCTTGGTGACATCTGGGGTTCCCAAGGTCCCTCAGCTACACACCAGCACCCCTGGGTTGCTGCTGCAGAGAACTGGTCATGGCCACCACACTGACCGGTGATCCTTAATGCATTTGGTAGTGAGGTGTGTGTATAACCATGTTACGGGCTGGGGCTGGAGTGTTTTATTGTGGTAAAATGCGCATTACAGAGACCCGCCCTTTAATCATGTGTCAGTGCGCTCCACTCTTCTCCTTCCTAGTTCCACCTGGAAGTGGCTAGTTTCTTTCTTTCTTTTTTGTTGGAGTCTCATTCTGTCACCCACGCTAGAGGGCTGGAGGACATTGGCACGCTCATAGCCATTGCAGCCTCAACCTGCTGGGCTCAGGTGATCCTTCTGCCTCAGCCCTTCAAGTAGCTGGAACTACAGGTGCACACCACCAAGCCCAGCTAATTTTTTGATTTATCGTAGAGGCGAGGTCTTGCCAAGTTGCTCGGGCTGTTCTTGAATCCCTGAACTCAAGCAATCCTCTTGCCTCCACCTCCCAAAGTGCTGGGATGACAGGTATGAGCCGCCACGCCCAGCCTAGCTCATTTCTCTGTCCTCCAAGGTTGCCCACAGAGAGATTGGCCATTTTTGGACTCAGAAAATCTGGATCTACTAAGACTAAATCTGTACTATCTATTGACTCACTGTCAGGATGGCAAAAAGCGTTTTATTTCCTTGCCAATTCTGACCTAAAAGTGTAAGGATGAGATCAGCGATCTGTCATTTGTACCCAAGAGACTAATCTGCAGGTGTGTGGCTAAATTCACCTCACTTAACAGCCATAACTGTTGCTGGGTGGATGCAGCAGGATGCTCCGAGTTCTTTGACTCACTGCTGGAAGGAATTTCAGAGCAGCCAGTACAACAGAATTTATGAGAGACAGAGAGAGAGAGAGAGGAAGGGGAGAGAGAGGGAGAGGGAGGGAGGGAGAGAGGGAGGGAAGGAAGGAGGGAGAGACAGGGAGGAGGGAGGGAAGGGAAGGGAAGGGGGAGAGAGGGAGAGGAAGGGAGGGGAGAGGAACATGCTGTTTTTGCTTCTGACAAGAAGCTTGGTCTCTTTTCACAAGGATTACCTGCTAAAGAGAGTGGGCTCCAGAATCTGCTCCTGAGAGAGTACCATCTCTCGGCCTCTGATGAGCTAAGGGTGGCCTTTCCCCAGCACAGCCTCTTGCCTGTGGCGGACTTGACAGGCTTGTAGTGATGGCTGATGACCATCTCTACACCTTTGACAGGCTGAGGGATGGGCTCAACCTTTGCCTCAGCAGGGAACTCAACAGGCTTTTAGCAATGATTGTGCTAAACCATGAGCTGGTCCGCTCTGTGGGGAGTGGAGGAGCGCTGTCCGAACAGCAGACCCGGAACAAAGGCAAGGCCACCAGCGAAGGCCGGGTCCCCGTTGCTCGGCACCCTAGCCAAAGAGCAAGGGATGCAGCTGCTCCACAGAACAGCGTCTCAGAGCCCACACATCCAGGTGCACATAGTACAGATAAAGCCGTAGCAACAACAAGATAACTGCGAACAGCTTGCCATCTAGGGAGCAAAAAAACTCCGCTATGGCTCCCTCATAGACCTCCCAACTTCTTTTGTGCTTGGTTATAATATCAACATGCTGAGCTAGTTCGGGGCCACTTCTCCATCAGAGGAAAGTGTCCCAGCTGGCCCCAGCTTTTCTTCATGTCTTTGTGCCTGTGTCTTTCTTAATCTCTCTCCAGGGCTCTAAGGCTGCTGCACAGGCCCAGGCAAGGCTCCACCATTTACATCTTGGTGACTTTTCTTTCATGAACTGAGGGGTGGGGTGAACTGGTGAGAGCACATTCCAGCCCACAGGGTGGTCAGTACTGATGAAAAGAGGAAGAACAAATGTTTCCTCTATTCTAAAGCTGCTCACATGAAACGCATCTGTCTATGTCTAACCTACATTGAATACCCTGCCTCCGAACAAATGCTTTAAATCATTATCCTGGAAAAATATCATTATCCTAGATATGGATAAATCATTATCCAGAAAAATATGATCCTGAAATAGGGTATGTTCAGTATTGATGTGGCTTATAGTGTAAATTGTAAAATGCCAGGAAAAAGCAATGAAGAGAACGAAGGCCCCAAACTGCTTATTGAAATAGTCTTGAGCCGGGCTTGGTGACTCAGCCTGTCATCCCGCGCTTTGGGAGACTGAGGTGAGTGAACTGCCTGAGCCCGCGTGTTCAAGACCCGCCTGGGCAACTTGGCAAGACCTCATCTCTACAATAAATCAAAAACGAGCCAGACGTGGTAGCGCACATCTGTAGTTCCGGCTACTTGCAAGGCTGAGGCGGAAGGATCGCCGGAGGCCACAGGTCGAGGCTGCAGTGGTCGGGAACGTGCCACTGCACTCCTGGGCAGAGTGAGACTCCAATTCAAAAAAAAAAAAAAAAAAGAAATAGGCTTGGTCTGGCCCTGTGGTTCATGCCTGTCTTCCCAGCACTCTGGGAGGCGGAGGCGAGAAGAGTGCCTGAAACCAGGGGTTCGAGATCAGCCTGGGCAACTTGGCAAGCTTCATCTCTACAATAAATGAAAAAAGTAGCTAGATGTGGTGGGGCACGCCTGTAATCCTAGCTATTTGGAAGGTTGAGGTGGAAGGATCGCCTGAGTTCAGCAGGTCAAGGCTGCAGTGGCCGTGCACGTGCCACTGCACTCCAACCCGGGCAACAGAGTGAGACTTCCACTCAAAAAAAAGTAGTCTTGAATTGGTTTTGTGTTATCCTGAATATTCAAGAGTCTAAATATACTTACTATTCTTTATAAAGATACAATGTTGGGGAACAAACTAGCCTGATGGATAAGGAGCCATATTTTCTAGCCATAAAACAAGATCGATGGCTTGCCAAAAGGCTTTTTTGGGATAGCTGTGTGTGTAACAAGGAGTCTAGGAGCTATAATTTGGATGCCAAGATGTTAGAATTTCTGAATCTGCTGGGTGCAGTGGCTCACACCTGTAATCCTAGCACTTTGGGAGGCTGAGGTGAGAGGATTGCCTGAGTCCATGGGTTTGAGACCCCCTGGGCAACTTGGTGAGACCTCATCACTACAATAATAAAAAAAAAATTTCTGAATTTTTCCTTGGATCAATGGAATAACAGGACAGAAGATTTTTAAGTAGGCCCATTCTGGAAAATCTAAACTATACAGCAGCATGTTTTTTCTTACACTGTCACACACTGTTCAGGTACAATGTCTCATGCCTGTAATCCCAGCACTTTGGGAGGGGCTGGGGTGAGAGGGTTGTTTGGGGCCAGATATTTGAGGGCAGCCTGGGCAACATAGCAAGACTCTCTATTAAAAAAAAAAAAAAAAGGCCAGGCATGGTGACTCAAGCCTATAATCCTAGCATTTTGAGAGGCCAAGGTGAAAGATTTGCCTGAACACAGGGGTTCAAGACTAGCCTGGGCAACTTAGCAAGACCTCATCACTACAATAAATCAAAAAATTCACCAGACATGGTGGCATGCACCTGTAGTTCCAGTTACTTGGAAGGCTGAGGAGGGAGGATTGCCTGAGATCAGTAGGTCGAGGCTGCAGTGGCCATGAGTGTGCCATTGCCCTCCAGCTTGGGTGACAGAGTAAGACTCCGACTCAAAAACAAAGAAATAAATAAAAATAAACAAGGTAAATTGCCCCACATTGTTATGACAGTATGAATTGGCATCTCTCTGCGGGATACAGTGTAGCAACAGGTGCACATCCATTCACTCACCAATAATCTGCTGAGTTCCATACTGTGTGCCACACCCAGCTCCAGGACCCAGGTGTGTAATGGTGAACAAAATGCTCTGACTTCACACAGCTGAGTAAAGGAGCGAATCACAACCATTGGCTCAGCAATCTCTCTTCTAGAAATCAATCCTAAAGAAATAGTCATGAATGTACAAAATTATCTAGTTACGAAGATGTTTATCTTGTTGAAGTTTTCTGTCCAATGAATCATGATATAATTATACAAAACAATACCAGAAGGACATTAAATGATGTTGTAAAATAATATTTCAAACAAAGGAGTAATGTTCCCAAGCGATTATTAAGTTAAAAACCAGACTACACTTCTAGGAAGTATGAGGTGGTTCTAAAACTTGATGATGACAGTGACTGCACACGTGCAGATTTTTATGAAAATGTATTGAACAGTACACTTAAAATGGATGAACGTAATTGTTTCCAAATTGTACCTCAATGAAACTGTAAAAAGCAGGCTGGGCATGGTGGCTCATGCCTATAATCCCAGTACTTTGGGAGGCCAAGGTGAGAGGATTGCCTAAGCCCATGAGTTTGAGACTAGCCTGGGCAACTTGGAGAAACCTCATCTCTACAATAAATCAAAAAATTAGCCGGGCATGATGGCACATGACTGTAGTTTCAGCTTCTTGGAGGGCTGGGGCAGAAGGAGCACCTGAGCCCAGCAGGTCAATGCTGGGGTGGCTGTGACTGTGCCGTTGTGTTCCAGCCTGGGCGACAGAATGAGACTCCAACTCAAAAAAATTAAAAATAAAATAAAAAGCACAAAGCATTTTGTTCTGAAACAATTTTAACTTAAAGTTTATATAT